CTAAAACTGTTTGGATTTCATTGCTTGAGGCCACTTTTAGGCCATCCCTTCTTATATACCTCTTGCCAAAATTTGCTCCCGACCCGCTTCTTATTCTTGCCTCTTGCTCCAAGCACTTGCTTCAGCCTCTTGACTTTGACACCTGTCTCTGACCTCCCACCAGTTTTGATCCTTCTCACGTGCTTTTAGCATCTCAGGCCTTGGCCACCTGGACTTTCCCCCCCTTTCCAGCCTCCTCTGACCTCCAGGTGTTCTGCTATCTTAGATGAGATCTTTCTGTTCTATTAGCCAGAGAGAGCCCCATTCCTTACTTTGGCCATTAATCACCCTTCTTGAGAAGTAAGTTGTAGGTCAAATGCCCTCTCTTCTTTATTGAAAAGTACTTCATAAGAAATATCTACAAGAGATTTCAGATATGCTTACACGTGATAGGACCATAACCATAGTGGGACAGTTTAATAAACGATGTTCAGTCTTTGATCAAGTAGATCAAATAAAAGAATTTAGATGACTTGAATGATATATTAATAACTTTGTTTTAATAAGCATTATAAACTTTGTACTCAGAAGGTATTTTTAATCATGCCTTTATTAAATAGGTTATGTATTGTTTGCTTTTAGCATCTATGATGATTTGATAGAGTTAACATGCAGTTTTTAATTAAAGTATTGGATACTTTAAAGCTTACAAACCTTCACATTTCTAACTGTTTAGTCAAAGCCAAAAATAAAAACTCTGACTTCCCTAAGCAATGTGAGGATTTTGCTTCCCTTAACTCTCCTCACTTTCTACTCTTTGTTACGGTAATCTTGACTTATCTTTTTTCATCAACTTTATAACCACATTTAAAGCAAATTATTTACACCTATTTCTACTTAGTTTTGCCGTTCATCATCAGGCTTTTTCAGTATACCCCACCCCCTACAACTTCCCTATTATTGATTCCACTGATCTGGAGAATGTTTTAAATGGATATTTATTATTATTTTTCTTAAATTTATTTGACTGCGTCAGGTCTCAGTTGCATCATGAAGGCTTAGTTGCTCTGCGGCATGTGGGATCCTAAGTTCCCTGACCAGGGCTCGAACCCATGTCCCCCGCACCGGAAGGCAGATTCCCAACCCCTGGACCACCAGGGAAGGCCCCATGAACATTTTTAAGAAGGAGAACTCAAGTATATTTTCTCAACCTACATTATTTAAAGACGGATGTCTTTGTGTATAAAATAATTAAGTCACATCCTTTTTACTCTACAGATTTTGTTCTTTCTGGTTAGAGATTCTTATCAATTCTATCCTTTAGAGACTGATTGATTTTCTATGGTAATGAATCTAATGTGGAATGTAATTTAGTTATTATGTTTCTTCATCAATGTCTCATTTTTTGTCTAAAGTTGGCAAAGCACTCCTGAATTTTTATTTCAAATGTGAAAAAGGTATTTTCTTTAATTTTCTTCTGTTTCTTATAGTTAATCTACTTCATAAAGGATTCATCTCTGACAACTGAGCACTTTGCTCTCCTGTGTTGCAGAATGTTTTTGAAGGTTTCATATTCACTCAATGATTCACTTAACTAGTATGTATTGAGTGGTACTTGCCAGACACTGTTCTAGGCACTAGAAACACATCAGTTCACAAAACAGACAAAATTCTTTGCCCTCATGGAGTTTATGTTCCAGTATCAGAGACGGACATCAAACAAAATTAAATGAAGTATGGAGTATGTTGAATAGTGATGAATGTTAAGGAGAAAAATAAAGCAGAGAAGAGCAATGGGAAGTGTTGGAGGATGTTGAAATTTTAGACAAAATGGCCAGAGAAGCTGGTGATATTTGAATAAAGATGTGAAGGAATTGAAGGAGGGAATCATTGACTATCTAGAGAACAAGGTCTGAAAGACAGGCAAAAATACCTAGTGCAAAGACCCTGAGGCAGAAACTCGCCTGGCAAGTACTGAGAACATCAAGGATGCCAATGAGGCTGGAGCAGAAATAGCTAAGGGGAGAGTGGTAGGAACTGAGGTTAGTGATGCAGCAGGGACAGATCATTGTAGTGGTTTGAATTCCATGGAAGGACATCATAATATGATGTCGTCTGTCTGCTCCAAGTCTGAGCATGATGGATCACTATTGGAAGAGTTGAGCAGAGATATGATATCATATGTTGATACTGCATTCTGGATAGTGTGTTGAGAATAGACTACAGTGGGGAAGGGCAGAAGTCAAGTTACCACACAGGCATATATTGCAATAATCTGGGAAATATTACAATGGCTTAGGCAGAAGGGGTAACAGTAGAAACTGAAGAACCATCAGCTTTTACACATATTTTGAAAGCAGAAAGGGTTTTCTGACAGATTGGATGTGGTGTGTGAGATAAAGAGGGGTTAAGACTGACTCCAGGGTTTTGGGACTGAGCAGCTGAAGGGATGGTGTTGCTATGAACTAAAATGGAGGTGAGATGTAGCAGGTATGGGGAGCAAGATTCTGGAGTTCCATTTTCTACATATGAGTTTGCGATGCTTCTTAGACCCGTCTGCCCCCACAGTGGGGTGATGAGAAAGCAGTCAGACATGTGAGTCTCGAGTTCAAGTGAAAGGCTTAGGCTGAGATGGACACTTGGGAATCAACTCATTGATGGTATTGGAAGCCACAAGACTGAATGAGATCAGTCTAGATAGTGCAAGATAGTGACTGAGGATGGGGCATTTCAGTGTTTATAGGACAGATAACAAGTAAACGAGACTGAGGAGAGAGGCAGAAGGACGGGAGGAAAACCAGGCAATTGCAGGGTTACAGACGTCAAGGAAAAAAGAACTGACACAAGAAGAGAGCAGTCAGCCGTACCAAAGGCCGCTGATGGGTCAATGATAGAGAACTGAGAATTTATCACCAGGTTTGGAAACTGAGAGGTCATTGGTGTCTCCAGGTAAGAACAGTTTCTGAGGAGGGATGGGAGTAAAAGCCTGATTAAAGTGGGTTCCAGAGAGAATGGGAGGAAATTTGAGAAGTTAGCCCACTGTCTTAAGGGCTTTTTCTGTCAGAGGAAAAAGAGAAAAGAGGTGGTACCTCCAGTAGAGGTAAGGTCAGAGGAGGGTTTTCTCAATGGAAGATATAATGTGTTGTATGCTGCATTAGTCTTCTGTCACTGTGTGGCAAATTACACACACTTAGCAGCACGTGTAATATGGTTTCTGAGGGTCAGCAGTGCAGGCATGGCTCAGCTGGTGCCTCTGGCTCAGGGTTTCTCATGGGGCTGCCATCAAGGCATCACTGGGCTCCTTCCTTTCTGGAGCTAGAGGTCCCCTTCCAAGCTCATGTGGTTGTGGGCTGAATTCAGTTCCTTGCAGTTGTAGGACTGAGGTCCCTGTTTCCTTGCTGTATGTCAGCTGGGGCCCCTCTCAGGAATCAGGTGCCACCTGTGGCTGTTTGACCTGTGGACCCTGACAGTTCCCTCTCCCAACACAACAAGTCACTTCAAGGCCAGCAGGAGGACCTCTCAGCTTGGTGATCACCTAAATCCTTTTTTTTTAATTAAAACAAATTTTAAATTGGAGTATAGTTGATTTACAATGTTGTGTTAGTTTCAGGTATACAGCAAAGTGAATCAGTTATATATATACATATATCTGTAACCGAAAGTGGGGTCCGGCTGCTCGCTGCTCAAAAGCCAGTAAAGAAGCAAGGTTGGTGGAAAGGAAATTTTGCTTTATTTTGGATGCTTGCAACTGGGGAAGGGTGAGGGCTGACACCTGTCCAAAGGCTGACTCCCTTCTCCTGACAATCAAGGGGCAAGAGCTTTTATAGAGAGAGGGAGGGGGCTACATGCAGAAACAGCATAGTCAGCTCTGACCGTCATCTTGAAATTGGTCATCGATGGTCTAACCAGTGTCATCTTGGTTGTTTTAAGTACAATTAATCTTCAGTTCCAGAGTGGGTTTTTTCCCATTTCCTTGAATCCAGTTCTCAGAATTGTGGCAGCTTATGTCATGGCTACAGTCTGGTCATCATGTAGTTAACTTCTTCCACCTGGTAGAGGTTTCAGTATCTATAGGATAGCTCACAGGATATGGCTCATAATGTTATCTATAGCCCTTGAGAAGGAACTAAGGGTCCTTGATAAAGACTAAAATATTATTATTTGGTCTCCTTTGACTATTTTCCCTTGTTTCTGCATTTTCTCACTTCTCTGATTAAACTTATTCTTTGGCTAAAGGTTTTCTACGGACAAAAGGCAGGCTGAGGACATGGTGGGGAAGGACCACAGTATCCTGTTCTGTTTCATACCCACTCTTTTTTAGATTTTTTTCCCATATAGGTCATTTACTCACCCATAAAAATGAATGAAATAATGCCAAGACAGAGAAAGACAAATATCATATGATACCACTTATATGTGGGATCTTAAAAAAAATGGTACAAATGAACTTATTTACAAAACAGAAATAGAGTCACAGATGTAGAAAAAAACCTTATGACTACCGGGGGGAAAGGGAGAGGGAGGGATAAATCGGGAGATTGGGATTGACATATACACACTACTATATATAAAATGGAAAACTAATAAGGACTTACTGTATAGCACCTAAGTCCTTTTTAAAGGGCTTCACTCTGATTAGGTCAGGCCCACTTATGATAACCTCCCTTTTGATTGACTCAAAGTCAACAGGAGCAGGGAGCTTAATTATATCTTCAAGATCCTTTCACCTTTTTCAGATAACATAGTATAATCCAGGGAGTTACATTGCCCCCTTTCCCAACTTTGTCCTATTCTATGGGTTAGAATCAAGTCATAGGTTCTGCCTGCACTCACAGGGTTGGGATTACCCAAGAAAGTGACTCCCTGGATGAGTCACTCTAGGGTGTGTCTAACATAGATCTATGGGAATAATGCGATAGAGAGGAAAAAATTTGATGATGTAAGAGAGAAAGGGGAAGAATGCTGGACCAAGGCCAAGTTGGTGAGAAGGGATGGGCTTCAGTGCACAAGAAGAGGCATTAGGCTGAGCTCAGAATACAAACATCCATGGACAGAGCTGCAGGAAGGAAGGCCAAGTGATTGGATGCCCGTAGCTGGATATGTGCGATGGTGGAGCTTGGTGAAGGCCTCTCTTTCTGTTTCAACTTTCTCAGTGAGATAGGAGCAAGGGCATTTTGGGTGAGTATGAGGATGCAGGAGGAGGTGGTGGAGGTTTAGTTCAATATGTGTTCATATGTCTTATCATACGGCTAATATATATTTATATGTTTAGTATAATGCATTTATATCATCACTTTAATTTGTTCTGTACTCCCATCTTTATGGAGATGGAAAAGAGAATCTATAGAGTCAGTGTCAGAGGACATGGGGGCAGAATGGGTAACCTAGAGCTCTAGCATAGAGTGGCCAGAGGCCAGATTGGAACATTTCAGGTGAGGCTAAGATGACCCATTCAGCTCACAGGGAAAATCAGAACCCAAACCAAAATGCAAACTGAAAGGAGGCTAGCGCTTCAGCACTGAGCAGAGAGGGGGCTGGTGGTCTCATCACTGTGGCTGGTGTTACTCATGTGTTAAGGGCACATTGAACAAGTGATTCAGACTCCACGGCTGCAGCTTAATAGACATTGCATATTCAGTATTTTCATTTATGGCTCATCAGTGCAGGGCTTGTCCTGACTTATAAACTACATGGAACACCAGTATCACAATGCATTTTCTCCATAAAATTTCCCAGGTAATTAGTTTTATGGAGTTTTGCCATTTGGCACATTTTCTCTCCATTCCAAGCACTTCTGGGAATATCTGAACTCCCGAAAAAGAAATCTCACCACATAGCTTTATTTAGAAGTTAAATTCACAGAAAAACACTCCATAGTGGAAATATCAAGCATTACATGTAGAGTCTGCACAGAGAAACCAATTCCCGGCCAGCCTCAAGCTTAGAAATGCATTCATCTCGTCCACAGCCAATGGTATTTTCTTTAATCTCCCTCCCCCAGGATGGCACATGAGACCTGGAGAAAGGCTTGCTTCTCTAGGTAAGTCATTCATCTTTCCAACTTTTCTAGAATTTCATGCATCCACTGATTCTCATCCCTCCTGCCTCTAGACCCATTCTGGGCACATCCTCACCAGACCTGCCCTGACCCCAATCTCTGAGGTAGCAGGAAAATCCTCTCAGAACTGCCATCTCTTCTCTCTGCAGAGTCAGCCTGGCATCCTCTGTGGTCTTTACTTTTCACCTTGGTACATCCTTAGATTGTGAAGCCCACGGGTGTGCAGTCCAGTCTGCTCTGTGCTCGAACTTGGTACATCACTGCACTTACTTCATGATGGGAGAAGAGTATGTAACTTGTTTTCCTGGTAGTGGCTGTTTCGTTCCTCTGTTTCTCTATACCTTTCTGTTGCTCTCAAAAGCCAACTTTGGATCCTCTAGGGAGCCTCATAGCTAAGAAGTCCTTGTGTCACCCCCAGTGAGGAAAAGCATGCCTGTGGACCTGCTGAGCTGAACACCCTGCATGACACTGTCTGCACATGGCTGGCCAGTCACACACATCTGACAACACCCTCACCCCCAACACCCTGGAGCTGAGATCAGCTCTAAACGTATCAGGGTAGAGTTTCTTCCAAGGAAAACTGACATTTAGACAGCTGAGGGTTTCTTATGTGGCTCTATTGGTTTTGCAAAGCCTAGTACACCTCCATTACTCTGGAATTATAACCTTTGGTATTGTGATCTGTTCTTTGACTGTCAAAGAAGAAGGTAGTTTGATTTGCATAAGAAGCTCCAGGGTCCAGGGGGAAGGAAGAGATGGAAGCTCCTAATACCTTCTCCCTGGGAGTTGGATCCAGAAAATACTATGGCATGCTGGAGGGTGTAGGACGGGCCACACATGTTGTGCAATGAAACAGAGTTAAGGAAAAGTGTGCCAAGCCTGGGGGCCCGGACCCATTGCAGGAGGAAGGATGTTTTGACACAGCTTGTGGTTGATGGCCCCAACTTCTCCACAAAGTGATTGATTTATTCAACAAATATTGAATGAATATGTATTGAATATTCTAGGCACTGTGCTGGGCTTTGAGAGTATGTTGATGGATAAAGCCTATATGGTCTCTATCCTTGGAGTGTTTATAATGTGCGTGTGTTCAGAGAACCATTGCTAAGCATGAGTCCGAGGCTGGGATCCCATCTAGGGCTCTCCCATCATTTCAGTGGGGTCTGGATCCTCAGCGCACCATGCATTCACACCTTTTGCACTGTGCTGCATTACTCTATAACAGCGGCACCATGCGGCCACTGGGAGTGGATGGTAGTGGACCAAGGATCCTTTCCAGATCCCTTTCATCAGAGAGGAAAGGGAGAAGCATTCCAAGCAGAGAGAACAGCTTGTGCAAAGGGCCTGCCTTATAGGAGGGAGGTGAACATAGACAATGAGTGAAGACAAGGCATTAGATGTGGGTCTTTGTCTTGAGGGACATAATAAGAGCTGAGTTTGAACAGATGAGTCAGGCTGTGGGATGGAGAGTGGATTGAAGTGGTGAAAGGGTGGGTGTGGGGAGACCCTAGGGGGCTCTGCAGCAGCTCAGATTACAATATTGTGCCCACATTGTTAGATTATGTGCTCTAGAAGTGAGGGAACATTGAGCAGATGTCCCCACAATATGTATTTGTTTCTTTATTTCTAAAAAGTATACTGACATATAATGTGCCTTATAAAAAATATGTGCACATATATCATATATAGAAATTAATAATATTGACATAACAATGAAATAATGCTTAAAATATTTTTGTTTATTTTGTTAATGGTTCAAAAATATGCTTGAATATGCTTCATAGTATTTATTGAATCTTAGTGTATCATTTTGCAATATAGAAATTCAATTTTTAAATAGTTCATTTCAATCTTTAGTTTTATCGTCTGTCTATTGCTGGAAAAAGACATTTTGTAAATATATGTAGGTCAGAGTACAAGAAGGTCAAATGTATGTCATTGGCTGCTTTTACATCCATGAAATATATGAAGGTTTTTGTTGAGATTTGGCTAATAAATTTCTATTTTCCTTGATGTCAAGTCAGTTGTTCTTGAAAACAAATCTGAAGGTGCTTCATTTTTATACTTTTAACAAATGGATTAAAAAATTAAATACTTAATTTTAAAGACTTTAGACCTAGTAGAATAGTCCATTTTCAACTTTGTAAAGTGTGTCTACATGATAAATTTTAGAAGTGAATCATTTATATCATTTTTGGCCATAAAATCATGTAATAATCTTAACATTTCAAATACTCATTTCAAGATGCTCTTGCCTTAGCACAGGTTTCTTTGAAAAGAATCCTCTCACTCATTCCTAAAACATTAAACATTGAAGGAAGTTGATTCAGTGTTTTGTGTTTGTGTTTTGAAACTATCTGCCAGGAGGCATATTATTAATAGCTACATGCCTTCATAAAAGATCAGGCAATTGGGAGCACCTGCGTTTTTGTAAAGGAAGAATTAGTAATTACTAAGTTAGATGACCCTATGCACATGGGCAGGTGTTAACCTTTGGGTGGTAAAAAAAAAGTACAAAAGATTTTCATAGTCACGTCCCATCTTGTTAAGAAGAATTAGGAGGATTCTAGTAGCAAATAAGAAAATACCATCATAAACCAAACAAGACCAGAGCATGTCAGGAGGGTGAGAGAGAGGGCATTGCCATTTCTGCAGAGTCGTGCCCCCTGTCTTCCTGTGGGACACTTTGGATTCTAAAGTGCCACATAGTGCTGGTTTTAGAGATCCCCAAAGGTGGTGAGATGGGACAGTAGCTTAGGTGATAGCAATGGAAAGGGGCAAAGTGAATAAACCCAAGTGCTGTTTGGGGGTAACACTGACATCACTAGCTGATGGGTAGGATCTGGGGTGTGGGGGAAAGGTGGGTGTTAAGGGTGATTCCCACGTTTCTGGTTTGTACAATTCATGGGGCAGTGGCACCACTTCCTGAAAGAGGGAGCATAGGAGATCCAGTTTGCAGAGGAGGTCCTACATTTGAGTTGAGGCTTGTTTAGTGTGAGATGCCTCTGAACTGTCCAGACACAGTTGCAGATGGAGGTCTGGTCTGGAGCAGAGGCCTCAGTATCCAGCCTCTGTGCCCAAGGTCTGTAGAACAGACCCTGCCATTGGGGTAAGCTTTCTCTGGCTCTTGCTTCTCCCTGGGTGGCTTACTCTTCCTAGATATTTTTCAGTCTTGGAGAGACAAAATACAGAAGAGAGGCTGGAAGGAATGCTTGTGGTCTACACAGAAGGAGTTCATCACGTGGTCCAGCCCAAGTCACTAGAAGATGCACTGGACCTCGGTCCTCAAAGTTATAAAGTAGAGCTTGGCTGACCTTGTCTTCTGCGTATAGATTTCCCTTGTGAACTTCACAGTGACGGGTGCCCTTGATAGAGCATGAAGCGTAGTTCAGGTCCTGGGATCTTGACATCTGTCTGTGTAAGATGGTCACCATATCTCCATATACACCTATGCCTCTCCTTGGTCCTCTGCCTATGTCTGTCACCCTATTGGAATGACTTGCATTTGGGGCAAGTCAGGCTGTTTCTCAATTGTGTGTGTGTGCACATGTGTGTACAGCACAGCTGTGTAGTCATGGGGTTAGGATGGCAGGATCTGGAGTCTAACAGCTGGACTACTAACACTGTTTTTCTTCTTTCTACCTATATTTTCTTGTTTAATTTATTTAACTTCTTTGTGCCTTGATTTCCTCATAGCCAAAATGGTGAAAATACCAAATCTACTATAGGAATCTTTGTACGTGCAAATTACTTACCATCATGCTTGACAGAAAATAACCACTCACTAAATGGGTATGTGTCCAGCCACCCCCAGAATACATGATGTAAAGAGTCAATCTTTTTCTTCAAAGTCTGCCTTTCAAGGGCCTCTTTCCCAGAAGCCTCCACGCCCCACCTCTCTTATAGTCTGTCTCCATAACAGAGTATTTTTATACTTTTATAAGCAAGAACATAGTTTCTCATCCAATGACATTTAGGGTAAAATTTACGTTACTATTCTCTCACACTGCTGGAGAAAGTTTTCCTTCATTGATTTGTTCTTTCCTCACATTTTTTTCCTTCTGTTATTCATCTGGCCCATACTACAGGCCAGATATGGTGTCTGGCAGAGGCTGTCAAGGAGCTCATAGTCTCATGGGACAAGTGGACTTGTTCAAACTAATTCCAGTTCAAGGGACAGGGCAGAGGACGTCCTGGGGACTCACAGTTACTGGATGTTGACAGTGACCCTGCCCCTGGGCTGTTGCTCACACCGAACCTGAAATAGTCTTTCTGCCAGGAAAACCTGGGGAACCTGCTGGTTGGTTGGGAAATCAAAAGGCAATTGGCTGTCAATTTACATTCCCACCAACAGTGCAAGAGGATTCCCTTTGCTCCACACTCTCTCCAGCATTTATTGTTTGTAGATATTTTGATGATGGCCATTCTGACTGGTGTGAGGTGACACCTCACTGTAGTTTTGATTTGCATTTTTCGAATGATTAGTGATGCTGAGCATCCTTTCATGTGTTTGTTGGCCATCTGTACATCTTCTTTGGAGAAATGTCTATTTAGGTCTTCTGCCCGTTTTTGGATTGGGTTGTTTGTTTTCTTGATATTGAGCTGCATGTGCTACTTGTAAATTTTGGAGATTAGCCACTATGGAGAACAGTATGGAGGTTCCTTAAAAAACTAAAAATAGAACTACCATACGACCCAGCAATCCCACTACTTGGCATACACCCTGAGAAAACCATAATTCAAAAATAGTCATGTACCACAATGTTCATTGCAGTTCTACTTACAATAGCCAGGACATGGAAGCAACCTAAGTGTCCATTGACAGATGAATGGATAAAGAAGATGTGGTACATATACAATGGAATATTACTCAGCCATAAAAAGAAACAAAACTGAGTTATTTGTAGTGAGATGGGTGGACCTAGAGACTGTCATACAGAGTGAAGTAAGTCAGAAAGAGAAAAACAAATACAGTATGCTAA